TCAGACGTGTGCTCTTCCGATCTCCCCAAAACCCCAAAACCCCATGAATAATGTAGAAAGAAAAATAAGTGAAATGCTTTATAAAATATATTTATCTCTTTAAATTCTAATAAGATTGATTAGAACAAGCTATAACTCTATCTGATCCCTCTCAACTTCAGCAGCATCCGTTCTTTTTATCTTGGATCTTTTTTGTCTGATGTTGACCTTTTTAGATTCTTTGTGCTTGTGTTTCTAAAAAAGTGGTTAATATATTATTTTTGCTTACATTCAGTGGCTCTCTTTGGTTGGGTGATGGCTACTCTGGATTTAATTTCTCTTGTCATCATTGTGAAGGCTTCCTCGACATTTTTGCAGTCCTTGGCAGAGGTCTCGAGGAATCTAACGTTGTAGTGCTCAGCAAGTTCTCTTCCCTCGTCGGTGGAGACTTGTCTGGAATCTTCCATATCTGACTTGTTGCCGACCAAGATTCTTGAAATGTTATCAGAAGCGTGTTTCTCAACCTCATTCATCCAGTTCTCGATAGCACTGAAGCTCTCACGGTCAGTAATGTCATAAGTAACAATAATACCGTGAGCACCCTTGTAATAGCTGCTGGTAATGGTCTTGAATCTCTCTTAACCTGCAGTATCCCACTATAATAAAGGATATTAGGAATCGAATTTTTAAAAGTAATTTTCGCTATAATAAATTCTGCTCTCCAAGCATAAAATGGAGGCATGAATTTAGAATAACGCAATATTTATTGCAACAATGGTGAATTACTTACAATTTGGAGCTTGATGGTCTTTCCGTCAACTTCAATAGTTCTGATTTTCTATATTTATCAATTAGATCTTTCATATTATCTTTCAATGTAATACTTACGAAGTCAACACCAATGGTAGGCATGAAGTTATCTGTGAAAACATCGTCCTATTAGGAAAATTTTAAGATTCTGTTGGGGAAGTTATTAGTTTTTTTGGAGGAGTTTGAGACTTACAGCGAATCTGAGTAAGAGTGATGATTTACCGACTCCGGAGTTACCGATAAGGAGAACTTTGAAAAGATAGTCGCTATAGAATATTGTGAGCACGAAATTGATTTGCTTACTATTCTGGGTTCATATTTGATTTTGTTATTTGAAATTATAAAAAGGGTTAGTACGAGTCAGATAAATATATATATGTGTTTAATCAATAAATCGATTAATATTAGTTAATAAGCATAATTCTTATTGTCTTAAAAAAATAAACTATTTCTCTCTGACATTTAAATACAACTAGACTCTCCAACTTTATATCAATCCAGCCTCTCTCATTAGTCAACCTCCATGAAGTGTTGAAATGAATGCTACATTATCTCTCTCCTAGATGACATATTTAGTAGTATCTAACAGTTCCCAATCAGTATCGTTAACTAGTACAATGATGCCAGGCCTCACGGAACTTCCCTAGACAAACATTTCCTCCTTGTCCTTCAAATGATTTCTCTTCAAGTGATCAATCAACCCCTCCATTGTAGTTACAGTCTCTGGGAGCTCAACATCTATTTATTTCTTTCCCTCAAACATAAGTTCGAGTCCTCCACTATATTTTAGTTAAATACCAGTTGATGAGATATTTGCAAATATTACCTAAATTCTACGTTTACTTTCATTAAAGTATATTAATTTGATCTGCAGTTAATATTCTAATTTATTGTAATGTCTTCAAATTAGAATTTATAATTTCTTCAGGAACGACTATTTTCTTCATAAGAGCTTAGATATCTGTAATCTGCTACATTATCAACCTTTTTGAGTTTTAATTAGCAAGGCTACTCAGATTCCACTTCAGTAGTCTCTGCTATAGGGGCATTTATTGCTTGTGTTACTATTACTCTTTTAGTAGTTACAATTTACTTCAGTGTCAAAGTTTACAAATACGGAGAAAAATAAGCAAATATTAAATAGCCTCAATAGTAGCAATAATAGCAAGATTTAGCAACATTTTCACGCCTTAAAACAGGAGATCCAGAAGCCTAATTTATTAATTAGCCTGTGAATTTCGAAAAAGATCCCTCCCATCATTAATAACCTCACTGGGAGCATTCCTCGGCGAAATTAAATCTGGATGGGAAAAATTAATCCTAAAAATAAAACCCAGTAAATGTTAATAGCATATAGAAATAGGATGAAGAAGATGATTTCATATAAATATCTCCATAACCTATTATTGATACTGTTGACAAGCCTGCTCCACTAAATAACGCTGTAATGGGTCCTTCAAATGCAATTAATAGACTAATTAATAAAAAATTGAAGCAAGGCCTTGATATTCAAGCCAGAGATCTTGATGATATTGATGTCAAAATTGATCATGATCTAGAAGTAGAAGAGTAAAAATTATAAGGTAAAAAAGAACAAATCTAAAAGCATCAATAGCCATAGTAATAGCAAGAATTAATAAAACAGTAACAAGTAATATAGAAGTAGCCTGTTCAATCAAACAATAGCTCTTCTCAGTAGTTCAAAAAATCAGCTGAGAATTCTTAATAAAGATTATAATAATACAAGCAAGTGGAATAAGATTCATAACATAATGAAAGTATCGAAGACAGAAATTCTGATTCCTTACTAAAGGGTGTTGTTAAAAAGTCGAAGGTAGATTAGTAGCTAATCATTCAAAATAAATAATAGAACAATAATAAAAACCTTGCAAATGAAATAGAAAGAGAGTCTTAGAACTCTAAAATAAAAGCAAACTAAACCAAGATATCTGAATATCAATAATAAGATGTTTCAAATGATACCCTAAAGCGCTAGAAAAATATAATAAAAAATGACTCAAAGGATAAAATAGGGGCAGCTTTAGAAGACTAACTTTAATAAGAGAACGATGTCAGCTAATATTCTTACTTTAGTGAGGATGATGATGCTGACGGAATCGAGGTTGCAGAAAATAAAAAGTCAAATCAAAATATTAAAGCTGGCTAAAAGAAGAGAGAAATTAGCCTTGACTAATCTCAAGCAAGCTAGAATTATGGAACTAAAAGTAAAGAGGAATAGGATTAAGCTGTTGGAGGTAGGCGAGCATGAGAGAGCAGCACATGAATTGATTTGTAAAATTTTAAAAACCTAGTACTTGAATAAATTTCAATTACCTAGATCCTATAAGTTTAAAATTCATAAATAATCATAAATTTTGGTTGTAACTCTTACGTTTTTAAAAATTTACACTTGGGGTTTTGGGGTTTTGGGGTTTTGGGG